TTCATATACCTCTATAAAATGAAACAAAATAAAACAAAAACTGCTAAAACATCTACTAAAATATGTTTACATTATTTGAATTTATATACCTTTAAAATAAAATAACATAAAATAAAAACATATACTAAAATATGATAAAATATTTCGGATTTACATATCTCTATAAACTAAATACCTCTGAAACTAAAATAAAATAGAGATTCAAAAACAAATCAAATAAAACTAAATACAATAAAATGAAATAAAATCGCTAAAGAAAAAATATGATGAAATATTTGGGATTTAGATACCTCTATAAATGAAATAAAACAAAACAAAACATACTAAAATATGATGAAAAATATGATGAAATATACACAGCAGATAAACCTTGAGCTCCTTGGTCAGGTCAACGATTGTCATAGTGAAACAGTTAAAAAGAAAGTCTCACTGAGCAAATCTTAAAAAACATGAATAATACAGCCCTCTACGGACACCTTGGCAATTGAATCGCCATTGGCTAGTAAATTTGTTTGTTTACTCGCCAGACTGATCAAAAAAATTAAATAAATAAATATATATATATTGGTACAGTTTCAGATATTTATAAAACTGTGCCATTTTACAAACATATATATATATATATATATATATATGTATATGTGTGTGTGTGTGTTTGTAAAATGGCACAGTTATATAAATATCTGAAAGTACACTCTTAACATCAGTCAGTCAAGCATTATAATATGATAATCAATATTATTTAACCCTTTCGCACGTGAGTTTAAAATATTCTAGCTGAGCCCCGAGCGTGAGTTTTTTTTTTAGGCGACCGTTATTTTAGAATGTATTGCCTGTTTCCATGGCGGCGCGTCATGCTTGTCATGTGACACAACGCAGCCACAATAGCTCTGTATGACACATGGATCGCTTTTATTTATTTTTTCCTGTTTTATTCAAAATATTCACAAACATGCTCACTATATTATGAAATATCTGATATTCCGATTCTGAAATATGTGCAAGT